ATAGAGGAAATTCCCCAACTGAGGCTCCCTCAACCCGGTGTGTCAAGTTGACACTAAAGCTATCCAGCACAATTGACCCCTTGTCAACTTGACACACAAACATCACTATTAAACCATAACTTTCCAATTTCTGTCCCCAAGATATGTTAACATCACAACTTAAGACAGTACAACCTTTAAAATGCCACAGTCCTTAAAAAATCCAAACATTTTAAAGTCCATAGTCTCTTTTAAAAGTCTCAACTGTGGGCTTCTGTAAAATCCGAAACAAATACTGTCATATTTCAAAGGGAAGAATTGGGCACACCTAAGCAAAACCAAAGTCCAGCAAAGTAGCTCGAGGCTGGACATCTAGGATTCACTCACGATCTTCTTGGCTCCAAAGGGTTCTGGCAGCTCCACCTCTCTGACTCTGCCGTCCACAGCACAGCTTGTCTTGCAGACCCAGGGTAGCTCCGTTCCACACCTACTACAGTCCTTGGTGGTAGTCCCACGGTCCTGGCATTCCCAAAAAGCTGGGGTCTCCACTGAAACTGAGGCTACACTTTCACCAATGGCTTCTTCTTCTTGCCTCTCCGGGTGCAAAGCCTCAGAATCTCTCCATGACCCCTTCAATCCTGGGGTCTTCACTGCAACTGAAGCTGCACTTTCACCAATGGCCTTTCCTGGCCTCTCAGAGTGCTAAGCATCAGCTGCTCTCTGTGACTCCTTCAAGCTTTCAACACCAGAACCATGCAGGAGACTCTTACACATTACCAAGTCCTGCTTCCAGCTTGAGATGGAGACTCGGGTCCCCTCTATGTGCTGACCCTGTGGAAATACCTCCCAGAGACTTCACCTCAGTGATGCTGGTCTCTTGTTACTTACAGCTGATTTTTCAGCCCCAGCTAACCAGCATCAATTGTCTCAGTAAAGCAAAGGTTTTGCTTCAGGTTCTGGTCTCTTCTTAATCACAGCTGCTTCTTCAGCGCCAGCTGACCAGAACCCACAGATTCTCAATCCAAAATCTCACACAAACAGCCCTGATAGTCTCTGCTTCCCTTTGAAGCTTCACAAGCCAGGCCTCCATCATCTACAACTCTTTCAGCATAACTGTTCCAAGCTCCACAACAACAAACTCTGAGCACACAATGGCTTTTCCAGCCCAAAGTTCCAAATACTTCCACAGTCCTCCCAAAAACACCAAGGTCAGTCTGTCACAGCAATACCCCACTCTCTGGTACCAATTTCTATCCTTGTTTCTTCATTGCTGTGACAAAAGTACTCTGACCACTACCAACTTGGAGAGGAAAGGGTTTATTTGTCTTACATCTCCCAGGTCACAGTTCATCTGGGAGCCCAAGGTAGGAACTCAGGGCAGGAACCTGGAAGCTGGAGCTGGAGCACAGGCCATGGAGGAAGGCTGCTTACTGGCTTGCTCCCCTGGCCCCTGCTCAGCCTGCTTTCTTATGCAACACAGGCCCACCTGCCGAGGGGTGGCACCACCCACAGTGGGCTGGGCCCTCCCACATCACTCAACAATCAAAAAGGTGCCCCACAGACATGGCCACAGGCCGCTCCAATGGAGGCAATTCCCCAATTGAGGCTCCCTCAACACAGGTGTGTCAAGTTGGCACCAAAGCTCTCTAGCACACACACACAAAAGCCTAACCTATCTGATCTATGTAAAGGGTGACAGTAGTGAATCAGAGTGTTTGAGGCTTGTATGGGCTTTTTGTGGGAATGGTGGTCTTTGTTATCGTAAAGATTTTAGCTGTTAATTTGTTTTGTTATATTTGTGCTTTTAAGTCACACTGGTAAAACTGACCCTCAGTATTCAGAATCAGTGACAGAAAAATAACGGAATATGTAATCCTAAAACTTGACGACCATTCTTTTATACAGCATGCCTGTCTACTCAGCCCTGTCTTGATCTGGGCAAACTGTACCTGAAAAGAAGACTTCAGAGATTAACTGATCCAGGTCCCTCCAGCCTTGATGCTGCTTGGTGCTCTGAAGGCTCTTTGTCAAGATGCTCTGCCTGCCCTGGGACGCCTTTAAAGCTTGGGGCTGTGCTCTCT